TCTACCTGATAATGTCATGTACTCACTTCTACCTGATAATGTCATGTACTTACCTCTACCTGATAATGTCATGTACTCACTCACCTCTACCTGATAATGTCATGTACTCACTTCTACCTAATAATGTCATGTACTCACCTCTACCTGATAATGTCATGTAATCACTCACCTCTACCTGATAGTGTCATGTACTCACCTCTACCTGATAATGTCATGTACTCACTTCTACCTGATAATGTCATGTACACACCACTACCTGATAATGTCATGTACTCACCACTACCTGATAATGTCATGTACTTACCTCTACCTCCTCGTACTGCTTTGTCAGCTGACTCTGCTGTTTTCTCTTGACTGCTTTGTCCAGTTTAGAGATAACTGGATTAAGCAATCGATACTCCTCAGTAGATGTATCAATTTGAAAGTCTGTCTTTGTGAACATCTCACTAAATCGGTTATCTTCCAAAAGACCGACAGCTTCCTGAAAAAGAAAAAAAAACACATGTTACTTTTTTTTCTCATCATACAAAAATCAAAATTGGAATGAAGCCAATAGTCAAAAAGCAGGAATAAGTAAATAAAGTCAATAAAAAGCTTTACAAAATAAAGCAAGCCAACACAAGGTGTCTAGGTAATAGCATACTGAGGCCACATTAGGTGTTTAGGAAATAACATATTGAGACCATACAAGATGTCTAGGAAAAAGCATACTGAGGCCACACAAGGTGGCTAGGAAATAGCATACTGAGACCACACAAGGTGTCTAGGCAATAGCATACTGAGGACAAAAAGGTTTATAGGAAATAGCATATTGAGGCCCCACAAGGTGTCTAGGAAATAGCATCCTGTGACCACACAAGGGGTCTAGGAAATAGCATACTTAGGCCACACAAGGGGTCTAAGAAATAGCATACTGAGTCCACACAAGGTGGCTCGGAAATAGCATACTGAGGTCACACAAGGTGTCTAGGAAATAGCATACTGAGGCCACACAAGGTGTCTAAGAAATAGCATACTGCAGCCACACAAGGTATCTAAGAAATAGCATACTGAGGCCACACAAGGTGTCTAGGAAAAAGCATACTGCAGCCACAGAAGGTCTAAAAAATAGCATACTAAGGCCACACAAGGTGCCTAGGAAATTGCATACTGTGACCACACAAGGTGTCTAGGAAATAGCATACTGAGGCCACACAAGGTGTCTAGGAAATAGCATACTGAGGCTACACAAGGTGTCTAGGAAATAGCATACTTCAACCACACAAGGTGTCTAAGAAATAGCATACTGAGGACAAAAAGGTGTATAGGAAATAGCATAATGAAGCCACACAAGATTTCTAGGAAATAGCATACTGAGGCCATACAAGATGTCAAGGAAATAGCATACTGAGGCCACACAATGTGTCTAGGAAATAGTATACTGAATCCTAATATCAATTTCCCAACACATAGAAATGAATATCTAGCATACTAAGGCCAAACAAGGTGTCTAAAAAATAGCAAAGTAAGGCCACACAAGGTGCCTAGGAAATAGCATAATGAGGCCACACAAGATTTCTAGGGAATAGCATACTGAGGCCATACAAGATGTCAAGGAAATAGCATACTGAGGCCACACAATGTGTCTAGGAAATAGTATACTGAATCCTAATATCAATTTCCCAACACATAGAAATGAATATCTAGCATACTAAGGCCAAACAAGGTGTCTAAAAAATAGCATACTAAGGCCACACAAGGTGTCTTGGAAAAAGCATAATGAGGCCACACAAGATTTCTAGGGAATAGCATACTGAGGTCACACAAGGTGTCTAGGAAATAGTATACTGAATCCTAATATCAATTTCCCAACACATAGAAATGAATATCTAGCATACTAAGGCCACACAAGGTGCCTAGGAAATAGCATAAAAAAGCCACACAAGATTTCTAGGAAATAGCATACGTAGGCCATACAAGATGTCAAGGAAATAGCATACTGAGGCCACACAATGTGTCTAGGAAATAGCATACTGAGGACATACAAGATGTCAAGGAAATAGCATACTGAGGCCACACAAGGTGTATAGGAAATAGTATACTGAATCCTAATATCAATTTCCCAACACAAAAAAATGAATATCAGTGAATGTATGTCGACTTACTTTTGCCCGTTTTTTCCCAGTCGAGGTGGTTGCAATCACTTCTTTAGCTGTCAGAAGTTTCTCTGCCAGATCTCTATTGACCTTTGGTAGTTTCTATGGCAAAGAAAATTTAAGTCACATTAAGACATCTTCATTGTAAAAAACAGAAGCTATGATATTTTCCTTTTTATTTACAGTGTATTTTTTGTAGGTGATTGATAATGGTTTAATAATAACTTATTAAAGACAACCTTTAAATCTAAAACAGGAAAATGTTAAGAAAAGATCCTAAACAGTTTCTATTGGTTTCTATGAAAAACAAGTCCCACATCGTGACGATCTTTTCTGAAGTAATTTCTGTGCGTCTCATGCTCAGCCTGTTAGAGATAGCATGTATGTATCTCTTGTTGAAAATTTTCAAAATTATCTGAATATCATATATTAATACTTCCAAGAATGGATTCAAACATTCCTGAAAACATGCAAGCAATCATCTAATTTAGTAATCATGATCCGACACTTATTAACGAGGCTGTCACGTTGTAATTCATTATTCCAAGTGTCTCCTATATCTCAACTAGGCATCTCTAGTCTTACTGAGAAAACTGAAGCCTTAAAATCCAGGATTGACGATGTGGAACAGTATTCTAGGCGCACGACTCGAGTTCAGGCATATTCTAAGTCTGACACTGCTGAACTCATAATTAAAGTGTGTAATGAAGTTCTTGGTTTTATGATTACTCCCCATGATACCAGTAGATCCCAACGTGTCGGTGAAGTAAGTAACCCAGGTACATCATGATATGTTTATTACACTATTGTACAAGCGTGTCTGTGAATGATGCTAGATTCAACGTCTTCTTCAGGGAAGATGTCACCATAGACTCATCCTGTTCTCCTGTCCATGAGGATCAACAGTCCAATTCAACAACTCAATCTCACCTCTTGTTGCCAGAGACTTGTTTCTGTCCTCAGACAATCATCTATGAACTAATGAAGCTCTCGCCAAACAGCTGGTCTAAGTGTATTACAAAGCTCAATTTCTCAAATCACAGGCACCTAGACCAATAATAGTTGTAATGTGATTCGCAAATTTAATGGTGACAAGGCTTAGTGAACTGTCATCAGATCTGCATATCCTGACGTCTGAGAAGCCCAGAGACTTATTCCGAATAGGTGTGTCCCAAGTCTGTTAGAGGACATGGCGGGACCCATTGTGGTAGTGAGGTAGTAGACACACGAAACTCCCCATCATCGTTCTAGCCATGGTGAATCGTCTGTAGCTGTCATTCAGACTAGGAACACTTTGTTCCCCTGCGTCTTCAGTCTGCCGAGACGGAGGGTTAAGTAACTGTGGTGTCACTATGTTACCAGACTCTGCTACGTTTGTATATATACAGTGTATCATCGACTGTTACACTAGTACATATTTATATATATACAGTGTATCAATGACTGTTACACTAGTACATATTTTTATACATATAGTGTATTATCGACTGTTACACTAGTACATATTTATATATATACAGTGTATCATCGACTGTTGTACTAGTACATATTTATATATATACAGTGTATTATCGACTGTTACACTAGTACATATTTATATACATACAGTGTATCATCGACTGTTACACTAGTACATATTTATATATATACAGTGTATCATCGACTGTTACACTAGTACATATATATATATATATATACAGTAACATTGACTGTTACCCTAGTACATATTTATATATATACATACCGTGTATCATCGACTGTTACACTAGTACATATATATATATATATATACAGTAACATTGACTGGTACACTAGTACATATTTATATACACACAGTATAGTTATGTTCGGATGTAAGAGGTGACACTTAGTATACCTATGTATCTTTTTTATTTCATAATGTTTTTGCAAAGTAGACCTTGTAATTAAAATCAATACCAACCTTGGAGCGCACTCTATTTGCTCGATCCTCCTCTAATTTTTCCCGAATCTTTTTCTTTCGATATTCGTCATATGCAAATGGTTCGACCATTGCTTTTGCCTGAAAATGAATGACAATATTTCAAAGGTTCCTCCTAAAACTGTGAAATTCTACAGATATCTTAACTTACATACACACTGTGTGGAGCACAACTTTTAAAGATTTTCAAAAGAATTTTCTTAGTTATGATGATGAATATTTTGAATTCATTTTTCATGAACAAAACAAAATGAAAAACAAGGATAATTAAAATAGCAATCACCAAGAGTTACTTAAATCTGGAAAAGTTTCCTACATTAAGGATTAACTGTCCTTACCCTATGGTAGAGCCTAATGTCGATGAAGAAGCCATGCATGTACGCCCTCAACATGGTAGAGCCTATAAGATGGGCCAGACCCAAGTCCTCCAACACCTTCCTTGTGACGAACTTGTAGTCGTCATACACTGGTACAGTAACACATCAAGAAGAAATTGTAAATTTTGGCTATAATAAATGGGATGTTTTTACGGCTTTTCATGTGAAAAATATTGTAATAATTTATCCTATTCAATACAGTGCAATACACTCTATATCAATGGGCGAAATGCCCCGAGTCGAGTGACATGAAATATACAATTTTGTCACACTGTTGTACTGGTTACAATACAAATCGTTCACTTATTCATAGCTCGACAAAGGGAATAGTTGGTCTTTAAACATTGTGCCACATTTGATATGTAAAATGCTTGTGCATAAATTAAAACTTCGATAGTATTCATTATTTTTTTTAACCTTATCTTACATGCACATCAAACACAAAGGGAATATACTAGGCATGATGCAGGATCAATCGCTATAGGAAGTAGCTTCTGAGGTTTTAATCAAGGTTTCCATTGAATTTAATAAATTTCGTTTTTTAAAGGCAAACAAGCATTTGAAAAAATTACAAAAATGTAAGTAATACAAACTTCTACTAATTATCCAGCCATTTTAACCTCTCAGATTGTGACCTTTAAGTTTCAAACATGTATCTCTCAGATTGTGACCTTTAATTTTCAAACATGTATCTCTGAGATTGTGACCTACAAAGTGTCAAACATGTGCAGCTCTGAGATTGTGACCTACACAGTATCAAACATGTATCTCTGAGATTGTGACCTACAAAGTGTCCAACATGTACAGCTCTGAGATTGTGACCTACAAAGTGTCAAACATGTACCACTGAGATTGTGTCCTACAAAGTGTCAAACATGTACAGCTCTGAGATTGTAACCTACAAAGTGTCAAACATGTACAGCTCTGAGATTGTGACCTACACAGTATCAAACATGTATCTCTGAGATTGTGACCTACAAAGTGTCCAACATGTACAGCTCTGAGATTGTGACCTACAAAGTGTCAACATGTATCTCTGAGATTGTGACCTACACAGGGTCAAACATGTATCTCTGTGATTGTGACCTACAAAGTGTCTAACATGTACGGCTCTGAGATTGTGACCTACACAGTATCAAACATGTATCTCTGAGATTGTGACCTACAAAGTGTCCAACATGTACAGCTCTGAGATTGTGACCTACAAAGTCTCAAACATTTACAGCTCTGTGATTGTGACCTACAAAGTATCAATCATGTATCTCTGAGATTGTGACCTACACAGTGTCAAACAGGAATCTCTGTGATTGTGACCTACAAAGTGTCTAACATGTACGGCTCTGAGATTGTGACCTACAAAGTGTCAACATGTATCTCTGAGATTGTGACCTACACAGGGTCAAACATGTATCTCTGTGATTGTGACCTACAAAGTGTCTAACATGTATCTCTGAGATTGTGACCTACACAGTGTCAAACAGGAATCTCTGTGATTGTGACCTACAAAGTGTCTAACATGTACGGCTCTGAGATTGTGACCTACAAAGTGTCAAACATGTACACCTCTGAGATTGTGACCTACAAAGTGTCCAACATGTACATCTCTGAGATTGTGACCTACAAAGTGTCCAACATGTACATCTCTGAGATTGTGACCTACAAAGTGTCAAATATGTACCTCTCAGATTGTGACCTACAAAGTGTCAAACATATACCTCTCAGATTGTGCCCTACAAAGTGTCAAACATGTACAGCTCTGTGATTTTGACCTACAAAGTATCAATCATGTATCTCTGAGACTGTGACCTACACAGTGTCAAACATGTATCTCTGTGATTGTGACCTACAAAGTGTCTAACATGTACGGCTCTGAGATTGTGACCTACACAGTATCAACCATGTATCTCTGAGATTGTGACCTACAAAGTTTCAAACATGTACAGCTCTGAGATTACAGTGACCTACAAAGTGTCAAACATGTACAGCTCTGAGACTGTGACCTACGAAGTGTCAAACATGTACAGCTCTGAGATTACAGTGACCTACAAAGTGTCAAACATGTACAGTACTGAGATTACAGTGACCTACAAAGTGTCAAACATGTACAGTACTGAGATTACAGTGACCTACAAAGTGTCAAACATGTACCTCGGAGATTGTGACCTACAAAGTGTCAAACATGTAGAGCTCTGAGATTGTGACCTACAAAGTGTCAAATATGTACCTCTCAGATTGTGACCTACAAAGTGTCAAACATGTACGGCTCTGTGATTGTGACCTACAAAGTATCAAACATGTATCTCTGAGATTGTGACCTACAAAGTTTCAAACATGTACAGCTCTGAGATTACAGTGACCTACAAAGTGTCAAACATGTACAGCTCTGTGATTGTGACCTACAAAGTATCAATCATGTATCTCTGAGATTGTGACCTACACAGTGTCAAACATGTATCTCTGTGATTGTGACCTACAAAGTGTCTAACATGTACAGCTCTGAGATTGTGACCTACAAAGTGTTAAACATGTACAGCTCTGAGATTACAGTGACCTGCAAAGTTTCAAACTTTTACCTCTGAGATTGTAAACTACAAAGTGTCCAACATCACGAATATGGATTTGTAATATAGCTCTCATGGGATAACAGGCCCTCTGGGCCTGTTATACTCACTAGGACACTTAGGTAAGCTTGGCAAAATATTCTCATGAAAAATAATACAGCCCAATTTTGGTTCTGTCAAGCTATCGACATATGGGACTAAGTCTCCAGGGGCAGGGATGGACCCCTGAACCAATTAGTTTAGCACAAGTGCATTTGTCTTTTTCCATTTCCAAAAATACACTTTGTTACATGGTATATGGTCGGGACCACAACCATTTTCATGTAAAGACAATTCAGCACGGGGTTCCCACATTAGTTGCCTCTTTCAATGATGCAGGTGTGTTGTTTTCTCACTCCACAACCTGCAGGGTTGGTTGGGGGTGGGGATTGGATTAGGTAGGATAGTTTTATACAATCAAGGTAAAAAAAACACAATGAAAATACAAAGAATTGCCAATCCTATTTTTTTCCAAAGCCGGCATAGGATACAACTCTGGTGATGGCCTTATGTGCATTATTATTATCATTATTAAATGCTTAACCGACCTTCAACACAGGATAGGTCATTAGGGCCAACAAAAGGTCGAAAAAACAAAAACAAATGCAAAATAAAAACATCAAACAAACTTGAAGGTTAAAAGACAAATGTCAAATTGAATATTGAAAGTGGCTATGATGACTCAATTTTTTTTAAAAAGACCAACAGCTTTCAGATAGCCTAAAATTGAAGAGACAGTTATGTTTTCCAAGGATATTGTAGACATGTAATGTTATTAAAGAAATTTTCTCAAGTTGACTGAAGGTCAACACAATCTTATAAGATGTGGTTCCCGACACGTTATGCATTGAGGCTGAACATCACGTTTTAGTAAATAATAATGGGTACTGTATGAATGACCTATTTAGAGACAGGCAATGACAATCTCATCTCGGCGCCTCTCTCTGTAGCTAGGTTACCATTCACCGATTTCAGTTTCAATAGAATGTAGCTTGTTATCTATGCACTGATTAAAATTATTTTGCAACTGTGATCTTATAAAAGTTGTAATTAGTGGTTTAATATCAATAAAATGAAGTTTAAAATCTTCAGGTGGTAGCAATAGTGCTGCTTTCGCGGCACGATCTGCCTTTTCATTACCCAGTATTCCCGCATGTCCGGGACTTATGTGCAACCCAGCACGAAGAGGACTAACTTACCAATAGGAAATACAAGTAGTATTTATTGAGCCTGCAGGTAATTACAATTCTATTGATCTTTATAATAATGTATAACTTTACCCATGTCAGCCGTTTTTTCTTCCAACTCCTCTGTCATATTGTCGAGAAATGAACACCATTTTGGTGCAGTCCCCAGTGTCTGGTAAACAAAATAAAAACACCAATTTTATCATGGTTTGGTAGCCACTGGCAGAATCAATGACTTTTTGTCATGTTTTCTGAAAACAGAAGCTGTTAAAGATTAAATGAAGGATCAGAGAAATGTTAAGATGGCATGAAGGAAAGAGTCACACCATGGGTGGAAGTTACAGCAGAGACAAAGGAAAGTTTCCTTATATATCATAGTTCTGATACGAGAAAGGTAATCGAGCCGACGTCAGGTGTAGATTTGTGGGCTGATCAGTGGGGGGCTTCACTTTGAGTACAGATACCAAAAGGTATGTAGGGCGATTACAGAATACAGGCACATATAAAGAAAATGGATTTAATTACAACATACTCAAGCGTCACAAATAAGTGGGTTTTAATGTTTATCTGGCCAACTAATTCCGATACATTACTTTTACAAAAAGTACAACTCATATGAAAGAACAGTATGAAGGTACCGTATAACATGAAATGTTCAAGGGTATTTTCTTTCATAGCTTGAAGCCATTTAGATCGTTTCGTGGTACAAAATGTCATGGATTCCGCATTTAAACAAAGAGAAATCAAATATATCAATTAAATTCCTTGTATTTATTTTTGTGGTTCTGTAGCATCCACGAAAACCACAAATGTTTTATACAACGACCATTTCATGTTATACAGTATATATTGTTCTAAACCTAAACCAAATTTTAAAGATATTGTTTTGAAATTTTCTTTTTTTTGAAAACAGTTGAATGAGGAAGAAATTACCCAAAACATGACTTACAGGAATATAGTAGCTGAGGATCTTTGGAGCCTCGTTAGCCATGAAGAGCATACCAGACTCCGGTAACAAACACAGGTCGTTCAGGTTGGTGCCAGGCTCAATAGATGTGAAGGCTTTCCCCTATAAACACAACAGCATAGTTTTGTCTACACTTCTGCTAATATAATGCATTTCCTTTGTAGGGTATTTTCACTATTTTGTTTAAGTGGGAAGAATATAGAACAAGAGGCCCAAAGGATCTGTATCGCTAACTTGGTTATTACTACATGTATGTTCACAGCATATTATTTTATTACTTAACAGATACATAAAGGACAGACAAAAGGCTTTGTTTATGTTAAAACACATTATATCATCAAGGCCAATACCATTAAGTGTAGATATGTATATATATGATAATTTTTTAAACAGTTCATTTCAACCCCACTACCCAGGTATTTCAAATCAACTTGGTCGAAAGACCAGTACATTTAAAAACTACATCATTTTATTTAACTTTGAAGATCCAAGCCATAATAAAGAAAATGTTATTTTAAATAAATTTCGTAAAAATAATTGTAGCTTATATACCGTTTCCCGGTTCCATAGCTTCAGAATCTTTGTATCCATGGACAGCACTAAATCCATAGAATCCTGGAACTCAATAGACTTGATGGGCAGCTCATACTGGTGGTCTTTAACTAGCAGAGGTTTGTCAGATCTCATGTCATACAGCAATACCTAAACACAAAGAACAATGGACGGCAAATATCAGAAAAATTGTTACAAGATCCAGATCTCATGTTATACAGCAATACCTAAACACAAAGCACAATGGACGGCAAATATCAGAAAAATTGTTACAAGGTCCAGATCTCATGTTATACAGCAATACCTAAACACAAAAAGCATGATGGACAGCAAATATCAGAAAATTGTTACAAGGTCGTGATCTCATTTTCAATTACAGCTAAACGAAATATTTGTCATTGATATTGGAGTAAAACACGTTTATTTGAAATATTTTGTATTAACATGTCATCAGAAAAAGTTAGATATAGAGGATATTTAATGGTGTCTTCAGTAATAACAAATATTTCACGAGTGTGGCTAATATTTTGATATTTTTCACGAGTGCGCTAACAAGTTGATAGAATCCGATATTTCACTGGCAAAATTGTAATAAATGGTAATTATTTACAAATAATATAATTTCACAAATTCTGTACAATCAACAGTTTTCGAGTTATAGCGGTTTTAAAGATTATAGCCTATGACGTCATGGCGGCCATATTGGATTTTTGACCTACTTGGAAATGTTCATGAAACATGTTCAGACCTTGGCCTACAACATATTTAAAAGACTTTAATCCTATCTTTTACCAATTAAAAGATACAGACTCCACAAAGTATGGAAGAATAAGAATAATAAGAAACCTAACAAAAACAAAAGGTCTTTTTCACCAGTTGGTGAAAAGTCCTAATGAATATAAAAAAATAAAAGAAGAGACTGCTACAGTGATACTTACTAGATAGAATAACAAGACTCCTACCGCCATGTTAACACCACATATACTTATATGACCGGTGCTCCTTCCTACCGCCATGTTAACACCATATATACTTATATGGCTGGGCCTTGTTCCTACCGCCATGTTAACACCACATATACAATATAAAAAAATAAAAGAAGAGACTGCTACAGCGATACTTACTAGATAGAATAACAAGACTCCTACCGCCATGTTAGCACCACATATACTTATATGACCGGTGCTCCTTCCTCCCGCCATGTTAACACCACATATACTTATATGCCTGGTGCTCGTTCCTACCGCCATGTTAACACCACATAGACTTATATGACTGGTGCTCGTTGTTACTGCCATGTTAACACCACATATCCTTATACGACTGGTGCTCGTTCCTACCGCCATGTTAACACCACATATGCTTATATGACCGGTGCTCGTTGTTACCGCCATGTTAACATCACATATACTTACATGACCAGTGCTCGTTCCTACCGCCATGTTAACATAACATATACTTATATGACAGGTGCTCGTTGTTACCGCCATGTTAACACCACCTATACTTATATGACCGGTGCTCCTTCCTACTGCCATGTTAACTCCACATATACTTATATGACTGGTGCTCGTTGTTACCGCCATGTTAACACAACATATACTTATATGACCGGTGCTCCTTCCTCCCGCCATGTTAACACCACATATACTTACATGACCGGCGCTCGCTGTTACCGCCATGTTAACACCACATATACTTACATGACCGGCGCTCGCTGTTACCGCCATGTTAACACCACATATACTTATATGAAAGGTGCTCCTTCCTACAGCCATGTTAACACCACATATACTTATATGAACGGTGCTCGTTGTTACCGCCATGTTAACATCACATATACTTACATGACCAGTGCTCGTTGCTACCGCCATGTTAACACCACATATACTTGTATGACCGGTGCTCGTTGTTACCGCCATGTTAACATCACATATACTTACATGACCAGTGCTCGTTCCTACCGCCATGTTAACACCACATATGCTTATATGACCGGTGCTCGTTGTTACCGCCATGTTAACACAACATATACTTATATGACCGGTGCTCCTTCCTACCGCAATGTTAACACAACATATACTTATATGACCGGTGCTCCTTCCTACCGCCATGCTAACACCACATATCCTTATATGACCGGTGCTCGTTCCTACCGCCATGTTAACACCACATATACTTATATGACAGGTGCTCCTTCCTACAGCCATGTTAACACCATATATACTTATATGGCTGGTCCTTGTTCCTACCGCCATGTTAACACCACATATACTTATATGACCGGTGCTCGTTGTTACCGCCATGTTAACACCACATATACTTATATGACAGGTGCTCGTTCCTACCGCCATGTTAACACCTTGCACATATACTTACATGACCCGTGCTCGTTCCTACAGCCATGTTGAGACCATCACGGAATTTTAATGCTGTCACAGCTGGGAGGTCCAAGGTTCTTAAGACAAAACACATATCCTATTTACAACTGTTTGTCATGATTTTAAAATATTTGCTGATACTATTTTTCTTCTTCAATACCCTATCCAGCTTCATTCATCAATTATGTAATTTTCAGTTGTGTTAATCATTAAATTGAACATCATTTATTTTAACACAATTTTTGCTGGTTCAAAACAAGAACAAATTGTAACCTTACCCAGTTTATCTGTTTAAAAGTTATCATATTGGTAAAAATGAAAGAGTGTTTTGCAATTTAAAATCACAAAATTCAATCCATTAAAGGTTTCATGAAAAAACCACCTGTCAATAAAGCATCTGTATAAAGACAATTAACGACTACCGTAGGAAGAAATATTCTTTATACAATAAAACTGAACTTACTCGAGGTCGTCGACGTGTTTACTGAGGGCTATGTCCAGCACACCCACTCTAGTTCTGACCCGCGGATCAAAACACTCCACCGTACCCTATACAACAAACCAAATACCTCCATACGTCAGATCAAACTGGTACTTTCTTGTTAATCAAAGAAACAAGCAGCACTGAAAAGCTCAAGTCATAAAAATAAGGACCCTAAAAGAAATCTTCCCGACACCAGAACTCTTCTTTCTATGACTATCATAAAAGTATCAAATAGCTAGTGTTATAATGTAAAAACAGCATTCCTTGCATATCATATCAATTTCTTTGGCCACCTTCCCACAAGTGTCATGTTTTGGGTACAATGCCATTGCAGTGTAAACCTCCCATGTGGAATATCTATTGGAGATTAATAGTCAATCCTAATTAAGGGTTGAGAGAATTAATTACCAGGTACTGTATATGTGACGGGTGTAGAATATCTCTATTCCCCTATATCTACATAACAATTGCCTCATTTTTTCTCACTGCCTACATGTGAATTTGATAAGAACTGACAAATCAGCCAAAATCGTAGTTGGAAAGACCAGGAAACCATGTGCTGATGTACACCAGAGGTAGACTTTTAAAAGAAAAAGCTTACCATGCTTGTTCCGCAAGCCAAGAGGTAGTTAGATGGATTGAACTGACAACAGTTTACCTCTCTGAAACAGAAACCTTGTTATACAGAATACATGATATTGGGGTTGATCTCAATATATCTTTTTTTCTGAAAATTGGACCCCAAGGCAAAAGAAACAATCACCTTGACCAAAATGTTGAAAAAAATTATGGAATCTAATACAGTGTATCAATTGAAATTTATGTTAAATGTTACTTCAAAATTGTTCTACAATATAAAGAGACCCTACCTTTTAAAGAGGCTCAAGGGCCTTGAATTGCTCCCCTGACTATTTTGGAAATCAGATTGAAATCTATCCCATAGTTTTGGATGTACATTGTATGCCACGGGGATAGTAGGCCTCATTATTTCTATAACTGTTGACCCCTGTAGGCTGAGGATGCTACCACTACTATTTGGTTAAACCAGGTAGTTGACCTAAACCCTCGCCCTTTATTTGACTTTGACTTTGATTTGTTCACCAGGAACATTGTAACTTTTGATCCCTAGGGGGTTAGCATGCTACCACTACGTACAGTTTCGTACAAAACTGTCCGGTAAAAACCCCCCAAGAGGGCCTTAGCGGTCACCTGAGATATATTATAGATACTGGTAGCTTAATTTCATTGTTAAGATGTGATGTGGAAATCACCATGTAAACCTAATGAACTACAATACTTGTCATGTCACCAAAGGTTTAGAACTTTAAAAACTATTAAAATAAATAATTTTACTTTTGAGAAATATAATATCTATTATCTATTGTTATTAAGCCATTTTTCCTCTATGGCCAACCCCTGGGATAGGTCAGGATCTTTCTTTCTGATACTATTCGATTTCAATTTCATTATAACTATTCCAACCAAGCTGGTATTTTTTAACTTCTGATTTTCCCCAATTGGGCCCAAAACCTCCAGCCCCAGGGGATGGGGCAGGATCTTATTTTCTCACACCATCTAATTGCCATCTTGCAACTTAATCATTCCAACCAAGTTTTAATAATTTCCTGCTAAAAATGGACAAATTATATAAAATTGTAATACCCTCTTCCACCAAAGATGATTCTGACCAAGTTTGAATAAATTCCCACTGAAAATGGGCAAAATATATCCAAAAATGTTATTTCCCTATATGATCAACTTTACCCCCTACCCAAGGGCAAACGGACACCCCGGGGTTACTGACATTTACAATTTAAATAAAGCCCCTGATGATATTTCCATCCATGCAGAAAAACTGACTGTAATACCTTTGAGTCTGGAGAAGAAGATTTTTGAAATATTGGTTAATTTTCCCTTTGAGGCCCTGCCCTGTCCCCTTGGGTTGGGGCAAGGATCTCAATATTACAAATTGATACCTAATCTTCCTACAAGGATGAGTATCACTAACTAAAACAAATTTCCTATGGAAAATTAACAAAATATACCCAAAAGTGTTATTTCCCTATATAACCTATAGTAAACTTTACCCCCTACCCAAGGGAGAACGGATGGCCAGGGGGTACTGAAATTTACAATTTAAATACAGCCCCTGATGATCTTTCTATCCATGCAGAGAAATTGACTGTAGTACCTCTATCTAGTCTGGAGAAGAAGATTTTTGAAATTTTGGTTAACTTCCCTTTTGGGCCCCGCCCTGGCCCATGGGGGTTGGGGAAGGTATCCCAATTTTACAATTTTGTAGCCTCATCTACCAAGGATGATTCTGACTAAGATTGAAAATATTCCATCCACTGGTTCTTGAGAAGTCGAAAATGTAAAAAGTTTACACACAATGCACGACGACGGACGGAACGCGATCAGAATAGGTCACTTGAATAAATCTCAGGTGACCTAAACAGCCATTTGTCCTCGTTTTACCAATCCTGTCAGCCCTCTAGCTAGGTTATCTTATTTATTTGTAAAAGTTTTTATCCATATGTGTATAAACGTGTTATTATACGACTTGGTTAAAATTTTCTCAGTTATTTTGGCAGAGCAAATCAGCAGAAGAAAAATACGCTGATTTGACCTCTTCTACCCCACCCACGCCTTAGCCCCGGTCGGACCAACTCTCTACCCCACCCACGTCTTAGCCCCGGTAGGACCAACTCTCTACCCCACCCACGTCTTAGCCCCGGTAGGACCAACTCTCTTCTTTATGTCACTTTTTATCCCTATTTAGACTAAGAACTACAACAATTTCAATGTTGTACTTTGGGAGGAGATGCAAATCTAAAGCAAATAAGCCTATGTGATAAGCTGTGGCCCAGCTCCTTAGCTTTCAGGAGATTCAGTCCCTATATTTGTTTATCTTCTGATCACAATGACCTTATAAGGATGCTGGCACCCAAATTTGGTATTTCATACTGAGTGAGCAAACAATATGCAATTTATATATTACTACACCAGGCACAAAACAAACATTAACATGGCTGCAAACTAGGAATAATTTCCATATGGGCCTAACACCAATTGGGAACTAATAAGGAACAGAATCTTTGTTATAAACAAAAGACAGACGGATGATGGTCAGACAAACAGACAAAGTACATGGCACCATAGAATATACTCACATGGCCCTTTGGACCAGGTTAGCTAATACCATGAATATCTAATATCCACAAACTGTGCAGGTTAGCTAATGCCATAAATATCCACAATTTGTGCGGGTAAACTAATATCATAAATTTCCAAATATTTTGCAGTAAGCTTATACCATAAATATCCACAAATAGTGCAGGTTAGCTAATACCACAAATATCCATATATTGTGCAGGTTAGGAAATACCATAAATATCCAAAAATTGTGCAGGCAAGCTTATACCAAACACAACCACAGATTGTGCAGGTTTGCTTATACCATAAATATTGACAATTTGTGCAGTAAGCTGATACCATAAATGTCCACAATTTTTGCAGGCAAGCTGATACCATAAATATCCACAAATTGTGCAGGTTAGCTAATACCATAAATATCCACAATTATGCAGGTTAGCTAATACCATAAAAATCCAAAATTGTGCAGGTTTGCTAATACCATAAACATCCACATATTATGCAGGTTAGTAGCTGTAATACCATAAGTATCCAAAATTGTGCAGGCTAGCTAATACCATAAATATACATATATTGTGTAAATGTGCAATTTTCTTTGGTGACAAAATTGTGAAGAAAAAAAAATTGATGATAATAAAAGATAAAAAAACTTACTCTGCCTCAACAACAAGAGGATTAAGGAACCGGCCTTGCTCCAGATTGAGTCTGTAGACTTCTGAACTGTACAGAGAAAACAGGACATTTATTTTAAGACAGCTTTACTATAATTGTTTTAACAATTGAATCATCAATGTTTCCATCATCATTCCACCATTGCTCAACAAGAGTACCGCGGGGCGGAACAAAATACGCCCTTCAAATGTCATATAGTGTTATATACTTTCTTACATTGAAATAAGATCTGCATCAATCTAAGAGTGGTTAGCTGACATGCTATAAAAAATGTAGGAGAAAATCTTCGGACAAAAAATCAAATACTGAAATGAACAAAGGGCAATAACTTTTGAAAAAATAGTCGAATCAAAATTCTTTTAAGGGAGACACAACTTCATATCATGATCATGATGTATACCAAGTTTCAAAGAAATCGATAGAAAAATGTAGGAGGAGATTGCCGGACAAAAATCAAATACTGAAATGAACAAAGGGCAATAACTTTTGAAAAAATAGTCGAATCAAAATTCTTTTAAGGGAGACACAACTTCATATTGTGATTATGATGTATATCAAGTTTCAAAGAGATCGGATGAAAAGTGTAGGAGGAGATTGCCGGACAAACAAAAGTTTTCGCCGGACGGACGGACAACCCCATACCATAATACTCCTGTCAAATTTGACGGGCATATAAAAAGTCACTGAAACAAGTGCCTCATCAAATTTGACTGTAAAGTTTACAAGTGGCCCTGACTTAAATATAATGATGTGTTGTAAAACCTATTTACACTAGACATGCTGTACAGACATGTACATGTTCATTCACTATAGAGAAATGAACAGGTCTCTTTCTGTGCCATGCTCACTGCATGGGGACATACTGTTTGTTTCTTTTCCTTTGTCTTTGTTGTTTTTGATAATTTTTGGACTGTATTTTCTCAAAATAGAATGTCTGCTTGTGCAGGCCAGGTGACGTCAAGAACTGGATAAATGTTGATAAAATTGTATTTCATAAAAAACAACTAAGAACAGTGTGATAATCTATAAATAGAACATTAACATGTACAAGTAAACTCCCGAAACACACATGTATCTACTTTCAAATGATAAAATAAGATACATATCAAAGTTGGGTCTGACCAAATGAGTATTCCAACCAATATTGCCTACCTGACTCCTCCTATGTACATATCACAGCTAGCATGATGGTAGGCAAGGTCACGACCATACTTGGGTATACGGAGTTTGTAGTAGCGTCCATTCGAGGAATGGAACTCTATGTACCTGTCGCACTGAAGGAACACAACCTAGGGAAACAATCAAACAAACAGTCTTTTCTACTACATACTGCTCAGTGTAACTGCTGGTCAAACAGTTATATTGTCAAACCTGACACTGTACAGCACTTAGATAAAACTTCCAACATGACTGTTATACAACAGGTAACATTGAGTGACATCAAAATTCAACTTGTGATGAAATCACCCCACTGCTTTCTGATCGATGTTTGCATTGTCACCTGACAGGAATTTTAATAGAAATCTAAACCCACAAATCTGGTTGTCCTACCACTGGGTGAGACAGTTTCAAATGTTTCCTGACCGGGGTGTAAATTTTGTACCCAGATACTAGCCCAGGTCTTCTAGCACAACATGGATCAAGTTTACAACATGATTTATACCATATCCATAACGGCTATCACTTATCCTTTAGAAAATAAATCCTAAATTATCAGAAATATCCGGGATTTCAGTAGACCTTCGAGAGTATGTCTTTAGTTCCCCAAAATGAGCTTTGACTCTTGGGTTTTGTAGGACAGATTTTACATGCGAAAATTTTAAATGTTACCAAAAATAAACCCCCAAAACTATATTATTGAAAGATACAAACTTGACTTCTCCTGATAATCAGTCTGATACATATAGAGTTGTTCCTGTACTGGTAGTAAAAAGCATCATAACAAATATGGCAGACAGCAAAATTTTAATAACTTGAATGGGGCGCTTAATAACATAGCAAAACAGAGGTTGTGTCAGTGGCTTTAATAGCCACACATCTGTCGGACACATTCCAAAAGAGAATCAGAAATTGTTCTGGTTTTTTTTTAAATGCTGTAAAACAATCGTGTCAAATTGTGAGACTGTACGGAAATCAAATATAAAATGTATATAGTAAAATATTCTGTTAACTTGAAAATGCCAGGATGGAGGGTGATAGGAATGGAGGTGCTGAAAAAAAGGGAAGGTGCTAATTACTGCAAATAAAACAGTTTTTAATTTTTTCTCGTTTGACGGTGAACATAAATCTGTGGAAATGATTTCCATTTTATCATCAAGAGATTCTTTTGTTATTTTTCCAGCATGAGTGAAAATAGTAAAACAGACCATTAACACTTACTTTTGAATAATCGTTATCCAGTAATAGAAACTTGACGACATCAGAATCCAGTCCTCGTTCAAACTTGAGTGACATTTGAGCAACATCATAACATCTAAAACGTGGTTTATATGTTCCTACAATACATAAAAACAAACATTTGTTTGGTATTGAATATATTTAATAAATCACCACATGGGTAAAAATAAAAATAACTGTATTGATCTTTCATTTTCAAATTAAGGATCCCTATACCACTGCGAAAACACTGTAACTAAGTATTGGAAACTGTTTTATCTGACATGACTATAGCTTTGATAAATCATTTTTGAAAAGAAAACCATACCTTCGGGGACTTTAATAAGAAATAATAAAGATGGAATAGACAAGATACAATCAACAACAGTGTTTTAAGCGTAAAATTCAACGAGGCTAGACCGTGATTTGTACCCTGAACTTAAGACTGGGGTTCCATTACTCTTACAGATTGAGCTACTGTGTCAATGGCTTAACTGTGTTACATTTAATCCAAACGAAAGTTAAGGGAAGTTACTGTATATAGGAATAAAAAAGTGCCACTGGACAGGGATCATTAAGGGGAGGTTACTGTATATAGGAATAAACACAGTGCAGTGGGACAGGGATCCTTAAGGGGAGGTTACTGTATATAGGAATAAACTACAGTACAGTGGGACAGGGTTCCTTAAAGGGAGGTTACTGTATATAGGAATAAACACAGTGTAGTGGGACAGGGATCCTTAAGGGGATGTTACTGTATATAGGAATAAACACAGTGCAGTGTGAGAGGAATCCTTAAGGGGAAGTTACTGTATATAGGAATAAACACAGTGCAGTGGGACAGGTATCATTAAGGGGAGGTTACTGAATATAGGAATAAACACAGTGCAGTGGGAGAGAAATCCTTAAGGGGAGGTTACTGTATATAGGAAAAACACAGTGCAGTGGGACAGGGATCATTAAGGGGAGGTTACTGTATATAAGAATAAACACAGTGTAGTGGGACAGGGATCATTAAGGGGAGGTTACTGTATATAGGAATAAACACAGTGTAGTGGGACAGGGATCCTTAAGGGGAGGTAACTGTTTATAGGAATTAACACAGTGTAGTGGGACAGGGATCATTAAGGGGAGGTTACTGTATATAGGAATACACACAGTGTAGTGGGAGAGAAATCCTTAAGGGGAGGTTACTGTATATAGGAATACACACAGTGTAGTGGGAGAGAAATCCTTAAGGGGAGGTTACTGTATATAGGAATACACACAGTGTAGTGGGACAGGGATCATTAAGGGGAGGTTACTGTATATAGGAATAAACACAGTGCAGTGGGAGAGAAATCCTTAAGGGGAATTCGCAGAAACTGCCGTATAGCTGATAACTTCTAGTCCTATGCCACCTGGCTAATATCTCTCTATGTGTGTCTGCTGGAAATGTAATATGTTCTGTTTGTAGTGGGACTGTGCTTCCAACAACAACACTTCTAGTGTCACCTCAATTGAATTACTGCAACATCCACCCCAGACCAACTGATACTCCACCTTGGTTGTTGGAGTTGCGTTGGCAGGAGAAAAACATTTTCTGAATATCCATGAGTGCGACGACTTCAGGAATCGAACCCTGACCACCTGCGTGGAAGGCCTGAGTGTTTACCACTCGACCAATCTGCCCATGTAAATGGATAGAATGATGACAGAAAAAAAAGAGGATACGCCCAAATATCTACCAACAAAATATGTTCATAATCAGAGCTTGGGCATATTCCCACTCAGAGATCTTTCATGACATGCAAAGGAAATAACATATATGTGTGAGCATAAGAGGTATACATGTAACTATACATACATACATGGAAATACCTGCAGATTTCTTTATATGTATGTCTTTAAACTTTTTGCCAATAAAATAATAAAAATGTGTCATGCCTTAAAAAATCTTTTAAAGTATATTTTAAGTTCTAATAAGTATATTTAAAGTCTTTCTACTTCCAGGTGTTTTCTGGTATAAATACTGGATACCTATAGATATAACCATTCTATTGGTTGGTTGGGACATTAAAGGACCCCACTTGTTAATCGTAGAATGATCAAATGCATGGTTATAGAAACTACTATAGAGCCCGGCTTGCTGTATTGTAAAAATTGCAAACTATGAAAATATGTTTTTAAAGAACGTATTGTAAACCACTGGAACTCACTACCCGATACTGTCATCACCTCACCAACAATTAAAACATTTGAATCCCATCTGGATAAGTATTGGGGAAAACCTGATTGTTTCTATAACCATGAGATAGACATTAATGAACTTATTCATTGCTGAGACGTCAACATAGTGTCTGACGATATCCAGATCTGGATATATAGGCATATTGCCTGCGTCCAGTATTATTATTATTATTATTATTATATATAATTAGTGATTTGTGTTTAAAAAAAAAATATGTAAGGATCATCTATGATTATTTTGCATCTGCTTTTGACGAAAACCCCCAAAACAAAAATGGGTCTGCGGTGGCCAAGTGGTTATGTGTCTGACATTCTGCTACCACTAGCCCTCCACCACTGGGTCGCAAGGTCAAGACACACATGGAGCAGTCGCCAGGTAATGGCCGTTGGTTGGTGATTTTTCTCTAGGAACTCCGCTTTTCCTCCACCAGCAAAACCTGGCACGTCCTTAAATGACCATTGCTGTTAATAGGATGTAACACACAAACAAACTAATTACCTGTGGTACATATGTATCGTCCATCTGGGGTGACTTGTACGCCATGACTCACAGTGGGCATCTCAAAATCCTGGAGTAGCTCTATCCTCCGTCGAATGTCTGTTCACATAAAATAGTGGTTATCAAATTAAAGTACATCTTGTTTACTGATTCAAACCAAGGCTACATATTTATACACCTTCACAATTCAGTGATTATATATTATTGGTTTGACACTCACGTGCATGGACTCATGCTTTTCCTGTGTGGGACTCACAAACTTTTTGAGGACTCAATATATCTCAGACTTTTAGTAATTGGACTCATCAACACAAATTTTTTACAAAAGATATGCAGGACTTGCTTGATAAATTTCTATAAAAATCAATGAGTCACCTAAAGCAGTATCTTGAGTATCTATTATTTTAAAGATGACACTATTGTTAGTCCTGTTTAGTTGTGTATGGCTCATACAGTCTCATTCGAAGTTCGACAGCACAATTAATCGTGAAATACGGAAAATTGAAGCGTTTTCAATTATAAAAAAATGTTCACTGATCTTTATAACTTAATATTTATATTTATATTAGGGCGAAACAAACTTGGGGCGAAACAACCCAGATTCTATTGAACCTCCCGTTGGAAGTTCCATATGATTAAGGCGGCAAATTCTACACACATGCCTTGTGAAATACAAGTTTACTATATTTTAGGTACAGAAAATCATCAGTTTGATACTTCTCATTGATGCAAATGGCAATCGAGAATACGTATCAGTCAAACATTTTTTTTGTTGGTTTATGCATGTTTGCCATTTTATCAATAAAACTTACCAACATCTTGTTTGAGTAATGCTCTTCTTTTTCTGTCTGAAAGCCACTGTAAAATAAATCAAGATTGACAAACATTATTTATGTGTTCTGTACGTGACCCATATCAATATAGCATAGGTATATTTCAGACATTAGTAACCCCTATGACCTGACCAAATCATGCAGCGATGTGAACAGATGAATAAGAGAGTAATCTAATGCTTTTACAGTACAAAATAAAAATTAAACAGTCGGCCTACAATATCTTACAGCAATGATGGAAACGTCTTGTGAGAGAGTGCTAACCATATGACTTTTTCAGAACACCACTGAACACCAGATGATCAATTCAACAAACATGGTTTACCTCTGGAAGCGATTTGCCAGCGCTTAAGTTGTAGATGTTAACGTTATTAGGATTTGAAACCTGCATCTTCGGTTGATTAGTGTTTTATGTCATAATGTGGACAAAAATCACAGACCACTCTCTACACGTGGGTTTGTTTTTCATGAAGAGCTCCCTACGAAGGGAGTTAACTATGGGTGCATTTTTTAAGGTAACACACAACTATATTTTATTTATGTTTATTTTTTTTTGTACAACACACCATATACGTGTCTATTATTAAATGTTATAAGGCCAGTTCTTAGTACATTTAACACTTTAATATTTATACTCATATATCAAATAAGTCAGGTTCAATCAGTAATAAATGTTGCCTCAAAGTTAATGACGTTATTTTTTAGCTTGAGCATCGGTCACCTATAGCTCTTCTTTCAGTACTAAAATTAATTAGAATCTTAATATATTCTGTTATCAACACGATCGAGTCCATACCAATAAACTCTGTGAAACATTTCTCACCCCAGAAACAGCAAATCATAGCTAGCATTATTAAAAATGATGTTCGGTTACCCGGCGTGTTTATACACATGTAGCTGCCATGTAATACAATTTTAATGCAAATAAGAAGTTGCATGCACATCAAAAAAAAATTCTGTAGGCCTAGTTATAAATTATACTTATTCTATATTATTATAACATTCAATATTTGTACAGTTTAAAAGAAATTAACTGTGATTTTTTTTCTCCATTATGAAAGAAAATAATATTTATTACAGCTACTGTAGCTGCCAAGTATATCGGTATATATTGCGCATTCGGAGTCTACCGTGGGTGCCGCTTTAATATTTGTTTCAATAAAAATTCAATTTGTTCTTTGTTTTGTTTTATAAAATCTGAATCCGAATGCTGTCATTGCTGTATATCGCTCCAACAGCTCCAACTGCAAACAGTTTTTTTTATCATCTAATGTATACAATATACACGTCACATAGGACATATACATGTTTGATGCTCAAATGACTGAAAAGGGTTGTAAATGACTGAAATATAGATGTCGTACTGATGGGAGGACTTGATATCGGGTTTATCAATGGTTGCAGTCAGTATAACCTATCGCTTGTTATGATTTTCCTAACCGTAATATACATGTAGGTAAGCCTACCAGAGCAACGGAATCCTCACGTACAACCATGACGGAACTTATGAGGTATTGGTACCATTTATTTCTTTAAGCACGGACTTAAAAATCTAATATCACAGCATGTGTCACAGATAACAAAATAAAAACACAACAAATATATACCACAGCATGTATCCGCACAACATGTGTCACAGATAACAAAATACAAACACAAGAAACATATACCACAACATGTATCACAACATGTGTCACAGATAACTAATAAAAAACCACAGCAAACATATAACACAGCATGTATCACAACATGTGTCGCAGATAACAAAATAAAAAACGCAACAAATATATACCGCAGCATATATCACAACATTTGTCACAGATAACAAAATAAAAACACTGAGCGCTAAACTTCATGTAAAAATAAATCTCATGTAGCGTATGAATATTCTCATAAGAAACCCGAGTCGAATATACATACACAGTGTGCATCTCTGCCAATAGAACACAAAGATAGCAGAAAACATGCTTATATAGCATTATTCAAAACAACATCGATACTAAATAAGATAAATAGCGTCATAAGTAGCGGTATGAAATGCAACGAAATCACACTTCATTGGTATTAAATAATAAATAAAATAATGCGTAAAAAACATTTTTTTTTTTTTAAAAACCAGGAAGCTTTATATGCACATGAATGAAATGAAAATGGGGAGCAGGTGTAACCCCATAGATACTTTACGAACTTTAAATAACAGTTACATTTTTGGCCATCACAGATGTCCAACGGCGTCCGGAGGACTTGATAGTTTCAGTCTGTTTTATTTCGTAAACGGTTAAATCGGAAGGATTTCTTACCATATAAGGTGGTCTGACCTCTGGTCTCGCGTCTAAAATTATAATCGTATTTTTTTTATGTTCACCAGGTCACAAATATATTGTTGACAAATATCATTTTTGTATTAATTGATTGACATGGAGGAAAGAACAATAGTTACGGCCTAAAACAATAGGTAAAGGAGTGCTAAACTCATTTTCAATGACCTTCAATGCCCTCTCGCTTAATTGTCGTTAATATTCTAGTGTTTTACTCATTTACTCAAAGTAGTGATATTTCATTTCTTAGTGAAGCTACATGTAATTCTCTTGATAACGCAGAGTTATTTTGATGCTATTATGCAGACATTAGAAATAATTAGATCAAAATTTTAAATCATAATAAATGTCAACGCCAAATAATTTTACCGAATTATCACAATGGCCTCATGGTACCTTGTTTTGAATGAAAGAATTGCTTGACTAGATTTGCCTGAACATAGTGCCTGGGACTTGTCTGGGTAAGCTTGCGTACCATTCCTACCAAACCAGTCAATATGAGTTTCACTCTCCTTCTCAAGAGCATTGCCTAACTAGAGGACAGGATTGTCGAATATGTGAGGAAAGGATGCTATCGTTAGCATGTTGACAGGTATTGTAAATATATCAAGAAACAAAGGTCCAACTATGGATCCCTGAGATACCTACTGTTGAAATATCTGCAAAAGTCAATAGATGGACTACCAAGCCAATATCCAGCAGTTTTCCACCATTAGTCCATGAAGGAGGCAGTCAAATGCCTTAGACAGATCCATTAGGATAGCCCTACAGTATTTGTTATTGTCCAAGGCCTGACGCCAGTCTTCCAGGAGTCGCAGCAGAGAAGTCTGCATGACATCAAAAGCCCTTCCCGAAAAGAAGTGAAAACTATATCGGAAAGAGAATAAAGTTGGTAATCTTAGATCCTTTTAAACAATTTTGATAGAGTAGGTAGGACTCGGGCTGGTCTTTATTCCTTATTCAGAGGATCATTCTTCTTTAAAATTGGGATAACCTGGGCCCGCTGTACTCTATCAGAAACAAGGTTACCGTGAGCGGTATATAATACGCCCATCACACATTGAATGAGCAGTTGTTTGTATGATTGAAATATATGAAGTATTTGTCCATAAAGGGGCATAACTCCACAAATTATGGTCGGATAATGGCAGTTATCAAACTTGTCCGAGCTTTCATGGTAATTAACCTTGTTGTGAAGTTTGAAGTTAATCCGTTAATAATTACTTGAGATATCGAGCGGACATCGTTCCCATACCCGCCCGCCCGCCCTCCCGCTCACGTGATAACATAATACGTCCCCGTCTTCGACGGGCGTATAAAAATATTTTGTGGAATTCAAATTTTAGCAAAGTTTGTGAGTGGAAAAGATAAAAAGTCATAGCCCAGTTTAAGAATTTTGGTATACATCACAATCCACACTAGTGCATGTTTTTACTATCAAGTCGTTTTATAACTTTTTCAAGTGTAGAAGGTTAAATATGTGAGAAACTGAAAGTGCGATCTGTTTCCTGGTTTTGTTTGATGGACTATACACTTGAATTGATAGATACGTTTTGACCCTGAAAGTCTGACTCATTACCACTGGCTACATTTAAGAAGTGTGAATACAAATTTTACGTACTTTGTTTTGGACGGTAATGACGGTAATGGTCACATAAAACTGCTTGACAGTAGGCCAAACGTCCCGAGACTTAGGGCTAACACTACAGCAGTCAAAAAGAATGAATGCACAGATTTTCATTTTATCATAACTACATGATAACGTTGCTTGTGATAAATGTCCTAATTAACAGGAGTAGGGTAATGTTTGAACTTGTCAAAAGACGTACGTTTATTTGTAAACTGCTTTACGGAAGTTGGTGTTAAAAATAAAGCTTTGGTAATTTGGGAATTTACACGGTAAAGGTCAAGCTACCTATACATACACTTATTTATGTGATAATTATATCGGAAAGTGTGATAACATGTCGACAAAATGTCAAAATTATGTCACTACCTTCGTAAAAAGTTTCATCACCTTCATAAATTGTTTCATCACCTTTCATCTCCTTCATAAACTATTTCAACACCTTTATATCTTATGTCAACATCTTCATATATTATGTCAACAACTGCATATATAATGTTACATCTTTATATGTTATGTCAACATCTTCATATATTATGTTGACATCTTCATATATAATGTTACATCTTTATAAAGATAGTCGACACAGTTCTACGTAACTCGTAGTTATATTACCATATGTTCCGGTCCACATAAACTCATCTAAAGAACGACGGAAATGTGTTTTTCTATTCAATCGGCAAATATCGGATGACTCCGCTACGCTCAATTATAAGTGTTCGAGGAACGGGCCATCCCCGGAGTTCCGGAACTAGATTTGTTGTACAACCTAAATTTGTATAATATACTTATAACGTGTAAATAAAATACATAGTTACTCTCGAATGTCTACAGCAAACTCTTATAATGTTGTTGATTGACTTTATTCGATTTTATAATAACATCAATCGTTTTGGCGTTAAACATAATATAACAAAGTGTTATATATATGTTATAAACAGTCGTATGTATTCAATGAGATCAAACTCTAATTCTTTATTAGCGTTGATCTTTTCAACTTTTCAGTATACATATACATTCTGTAAGAGTTCAATTCAGTGGCAGACACTGCAATTATACAGCAGAGAATGGTCAGAATTCATTTTTGAAAGTAGCAAGTATTTTGAACTAATGTAGAGGCAAAGCATTGCATATGAACGAAAATTAATTCCTTTTAATTGGCCACACATATCATTGACTTGTGTATGTATGACACAGAGTTTCACAATGTCTAATTTCCGTCGAAGATTCTAGTTAATTTCCTTGTACATTACTACACAGCGTGTTCGTTCTGTTCGTCCTGTCGGAGCTCTACTCGAACGTCCAAGTTTTGGACGAAACTGTACAGCTTTTCTGAATGGCTGGACCTACGTTTATTGTCGTTGCGGTACTCTGTGCCTTCTTCGGCATGTTACGAGTGGTGGAGTTGTCAGGTAAGTTCAGTATTCGTCCACACATCAGCGCGATACTTTGCGAGCAGAGGACTCATGCTTGTATAAGAAAAGACAGAATGCATTCCTTCTTTGTATGCATCAATACTTTGTGTATGTTTGTATTAACGAAAAGATGACATACCGACTAATAAACATTGTATTCTTTATTGATTACTGATGAATCTTCTTTTACAAGAAAAGTATGCTTACAATTCTTCTGAATACAAGGAATATAAACTTATTAAAAATAAAGAATTGGACATATTCAAAAGGGGCAAATCGGCATGGTTTGGTATCAATAGTCATCAGTACCTCATCCTTGCCTAGAGAGAAAAACAGGGGTTGAAGGTCAAATATAAATGCCTCAATTCCCGGCTCTTTGGAAATCGCCGGTGTAATTCTCATTCCCATGGTCATCGTAGGTACATGTAAAATGGGTTAATTTCTCCGGATTAGCATGCAGTGAAATGAGTTTAGAATTGTAATGGGTTTAGAGTCCTTTTAACAGCTAAGGTCATTTAAGGACGTGCGTTCAAGTGCGTGACGTTTGTGCGCATTTCTTCACGAGGCGGTATATTGGCGTGTTTACCGCTACTTCTTGTGATAGCGCGGATCTGATGCCGACTTTAAAGTGCTGCCTTACTGAAATACCATGCCGAAGACACCCAGCACAGCATTACACCCGGTCACATTATACTGACAACGGGTGAATCAGTTGTCGCCATTACCCTAGATAACGAACGTTTAATAACTTTGGTATATCCCGTCTTGGGGACAGATTCCATGGCCTTTCTAACTTGGGCGAACGATCAAAAGTGAGGTATTGCTAAGGAAGACGATAGGAAACGTAAATTTTGTTAGACCGTAGAGTGGAAATATTAAATCCAAAATGTTGCAATGAAAAAAACCAGATTTATTTTGGTCAATTTTGTGTCCACCAAATAAAGGTCACTAAAGAAAAATCTCCAATTCTGCTGGGGGGTTCCCACATATAGTTGCCCCTAAACATGCAGTGGGTTACAGCAGACTTTTCGATTCCCGACCTGCAGAGATGGCATTAAATCATACCTTTGCCCCATATGGCTTCATAAGAGGTACTAAAAAACTAAATGTATCCACTTTTTTCGGAGTTTATGCTTACAGGGGGTCGAGCATCCGAGGCGCATAGCGCCGGAGGAGGGGGAGTTCCCCCTTCTATAGCTTGATTTGTTTTTAGAATTCTACTAGGCCCTAGAGGCAATCTCTCGTATTCTGGGAAATCCTTTTAGTCTGATTATTTACAAGTAAAAAGCTACTTTTTATGAACATATTATTGAGAAGATTTTTTAAAATTTTATTCTTTCCTTTTTATGATTGATACAGACGGTCCAGATTAATCATTAAAAAAGAAATTGATAAATACATATATATGATTAAAACAAATCTTGAAAATTTTAGTGTATGCTTGAGCATACAAGCATACATGTATGCTATGCCACTGCCTTCCAATACCTATTACGGTTCTACTATGAATAATTATATTGCAACAAATGCAGTAGTTCACAACAAATTGGATAAGAATTAAGAAAATTAAACTTTTATAATTTACTCATATAATAAAGCAACAAATCAATTGATGAAATAGACATGTGGGCATTTTAAGTGATCTTCACAAATTTAAAAATATTTTTGAAAACATAATCAGGAACGAAAGTACAAATATATAAGCACGAATTAAAACTTTAGAATTCACACAGGACTAGTCAGGAAAGTAGTTCTCTTTTCATAATACTTTTGCATCCTTATCCGTTAGATTGTTAATGTACACTGTATATATCGCAATACTAACGCTGCACTGTTAGTCATACCTATACACCAGCAGACACACACGACACGAGCTACAACACATGCCTCATATCACAAGCTGAGCCACCAGGTTTGACGACAGCCCCAATTAGCATGTATCAACCAGTGGTAAACGTGTAAATCATCAGTTGATGTTCACCGTTCAAACGGGAACCATTCTATCGACAGATAATCAGCAATATTGACATTGCCAGTGAACCACCTTCAACTCTCATAGTGTCCTTGATGAACTCTTACGGAGCCAGTTAACAATGTTGACTACACTATTCTCATGGAGTGACCACTACACTTGCGTATGCTCATCGAATGTCAAGTGGAACCCTCCGGATAAGCATGGAGTGAATCATACTTTAGGCTTCACAGGTGGCTACGGACGGAATACCTTCATCCCTCTTTCTCCAGCCGTCATCGAGAAGGATTCTCGAAAATCCTGGAGTTACACTTACTTACGCTCTCTGCATTCTTGGAATATGCCAATGGCAAAATTAAAAGCAAGATAGTTTTTTGATTGGTCTTAGGTAAAAATCATCCTTTGAAAATTTCAGAGGAGCGACCCCCGACTTCAAAGCAGACAAATCTTACCGTTACGATGTCGCGGGATTCGTTTGACGTAAATTTAAAGATCAAACTTATCTAACTTGTACCTTCGCTTCCGTCATAAGATATTCCAGGTAAGTAGAACGCGTAAGTGAGCAAAACCCTTTCATTATCGAGGATGTATCTCGACACACAAGCATCTAAATATTGGAGGAGGGGCCATTGCTTTACAGTGTACATAAAATGTTCCCGCGATTTATCTTTGTAATGTACTAACTACACTAAAAGAATGTTTGCGGCACGGTACCTTTAAGAAAGAAGTATTGTAGAACATATATCTTAACATGGTCAAATGTTTGCTCTATATAAGTGTTCATCAAAACATATTGTTCGAAGCTCTATTTTATCACAACATTTGTAACATTTCAGCCCTCAGTAGAGGGAACGTCACATACGTAAACCTCACCCATGTCTATCACAAAGTGAGTGTTTGGAACCGTGTACGGTTCTACAGACAGTATTCAATGACAACACACTGACCAAATGACACAATGCAATGCCTCATTTTGACGCGGCATTTAGAATTGTTCGACATTCATCAAGGTAGGGGACTGGACTCGCCCTGTAACATTTTTGTTACATTCATGAAATTGATAAATTGAGTTGATATCAAAGTTTTACTTTCTACACAAACAATGTGCGTTATAAACGTGTCGCAAAGTTTCAAAACCGGCTGGTTCTGTTGTCAAGCATATCTCCAAACTGATGAGTCTTATTAAGATAAAGTCGAGTTGATGATTGGCTGTTTTAAGCAAAGCAAACGTTTTTGTCTACATATTTCCAAGTTATTAAAAGATCTGACAAATGACAACGAAATGTTCCCATTGACATTTACGCGATAATGGTGATCTGTTATACAAATGTTCGTCGTAACAACTTAACATACGAGTAATGCTAATGTCACATTTGAATGAATGGGAAACGTTTTGAATTAGAAAGGGTTGTAAGTTTATCTGCATATGTTTTATGTATTGGAATATTTCTGTTACATGGATATACATACATACATAGTTCAATTCAATTTAGTTTTATCTAAGTGTATTCTGTGTACATAACTTTCGAAAAAGAATGAAACTTGAGTTTCTTGTACTGACATTAAACAAACAAACGGTGATATTATTTCGTCATTCACAAATGATATTTTTTATGACAATCCTTAGAAATAGGACGTAACTGGTGTTATTATATTCTGATTGTTCTCGTCTTGCATCTTATGAGGGTTTTTCATGAGTGTGTGACTAAAAGTGCCTTCGGAGCAACTATAAAATAATGATTTGTTATGATTTGTATAACAGCTTAGAATACGATTTAATTACTGACCCTGCATTAATTGCCGCCATTGACATTTGATCGTAAGATCACTCTACTGTCAAAAGGTTCCATTATCATGTGAAAATGTCAGTGTTCTGCAAGTATTTTTACGACGAGAGAAATTGGTGCAAAACAACCCGAAAAAATTATGCTTTCACTGCGAAAATGAAGAAGTATTCGTCTTTATTGCTGTAATTTGCGTTTTGCTTGGAAAAACAAGGAAATCGCCATGACTTATGACTTAGGCATATTTACTTGTTGATATAAATTTGTGACAAGAAAGAAAAAGGACAAAATGCCATTTTTATCAACGCCAATCTTGGAGTACCATTACCGCCTTTCCCTGTTCAACGTATCGGCGTAATTTAAGAATTCGCAGAAACGGAAAGTCTTTTAATTTTCTTAAAGAATACTGGATAGACATACATGTACCCAATGTAGGTTGTGTCTATATCACATGATATTACACATCAATATGCTGTTGGCAAAGTAACATTGGCACTTTCAAAACTTTCACTCTTGGCTATTGTTTTATTGCATATTTCAGGACACTCTCAGGAATTACCGGATTAGGTAAAATCTTCACTGATATTTTATATTAGCCAATGTTGACAATTCTTATATTTATTTTTTAATAGTTTATTTTAATGTACTTTCTCTATGCTCAAACAGTTTACATAAAAGAAAAGACAATTTATATACACTGTACCCGAATGCTTTCCAAAGTTACAAATAGAAAATCTATCAGAATGTAGTTTGTATACTGTTCATGGTGTAGACATCCTTATCTTCGCTATTAATTAATAGAATTATATGTACGTGATCTGTCTATTTCGTGAAAAAAATGCATAAATTGCGAGTAAGGGATTAACCGATTGGAACATTATTCCAATTATATGTGACAATCGTATAGTGTTTACTTATTACCTCAGACACAATAGCAGAAATTTACCAACTATCTGGAAGGTCCCCATATCTATATCAATACATGTTGTATATAATAGAAAGTGTAACGTTGATCATTATTTTGTTTACAGAATGTCCAGATGGATTCTTTGGAAAAGAATGCAAAACACAATGCTCAAAAAACTGTGAAAGTAGGGTGTGTGGGCAGGTCTCCGGTAACTGTACAGGTTTGTATAGTAGGTTGTTCATAAACTGTTGTTGGTATATGAGTTCACGAGTTGTTGTAAAACTGTTTTAGAATAAATAAAAGGAAAAATCAAATAATTTTCGTAAGTTGCATTGGAATTGATATAATTTGAAGGTACATGAAAGCTTTCAACATGGAGATTAAAAATAACTTTCATAAAAACGGCAAATTTCTTGAGTCCGTTTACATACGGTTCACGTTCATTGTGAACAGATAGTATAACGCGTGTTAAACAAAGCTAAATAGGCATATCTCTGTAATGATTGTGTCTCGATCACATGATGCCATAAGTTTACCTATTTTCTGTAAAATTACAATGACAAAACTGGGTTTATTGTGTGTATACCCAAGACACCGATGCGCCAAAACATTTCATCAAACTGAAATGCCTACGTCGATAACAATACATAAATCCGTTGGAATAAAATTAGCATACACTCCGCTTCGTGCTTGTCTATACCTTCGCTATTAATTGATACGAATACATGGTCAGCCTGTTCTGTGGCTAAACATTACAGTTGTGAGAAATTGATAGAGCTTGTAGCACATGTTCCTATTCCTTATATCGTGTGTTTTGGTACCATTAGGTCGATGTTGCAGCTGGTGGACCACATGGCCCTCATTGGACTAATTTAATTTTTTCTCTATATACTTTTCCTAGTTACTTTGATGAGATATCAGCGCTAGGTCCTAACTTATTTTTCTGATACATGATTACATATTTATTTGATTTAATAATAATATAAAACGCAACATTTATATAGCGCCATATATAATTTCCAAATTACTGCAAGGCGCTTTACTACACATGAATAACAATATTCCTACAGTAACAGTTATAAATATCGTAGATAAAAATGGCATACAACTCAGCATTACACAATAGGTAACAAGACGTTTATATATAGGGTGGTGAGTATATGACGTTTGCGCAAAAGAGTACATTTCTGTTTGTTGGGAGTATTACAGTTGTGTGACCGCACAACGCACCAAAAATACCGTGCATACATCGTTCACACACCGTCCGCACATCGTCTACACATGGTGCGCACAACTGTGCGATCTAACAATCGTTCGCCCCGTTGTGCGCTTCTCTCCGCACAACTGTGCGATTTGGTTCAATTTGTTAATCAATATTACGGAATGAATAAAATACGGAAGGCTCGTATGCAATAATGTACACTGTATATATTACGGTAATTCTCTCATCTCTATAACTGAGATTATGTACAATTTTACAATGCGTGTAACACGGTATACAGTGATCGTTAGACTGTCAAGAATGGGTTTGGCTCCTCGGTAACAGAACAGGTAAATAACAATTTGATGAGTGACCGGAGTGATACCTGGTCTTTGTCCGACACATAGAGCTGATATCTGATACCGTATGACTGTTATGAAAATACAACTGGACGTTTAATATTTGTTATTTGCTTTCGATTTGGTCTATAGCTCCCCTTCACCTGGTTTTTACACCTTGGCGAGTTACGTAAGTGCCCCGGGTGGGGGAAAACTACGGTCAAGGTACAAAGTGGCTATGCTTGCCTGTGTTGCCGAGACTGTTGTTATTTTACCTGTGTCGGTTAAGCTCGTTTAAAAAACACCGAAATTAACATTTATAAATTTAAGAAAGTATAGACAAAAGATAAGCTCATACTTAAAATCAAGTTTATATGTTTAAACACGAAACCGTATATATTGTAATGCCATTCCTCAATTTACACCAACCACGATTGTTATCGCACAACGTTCGTCGATCGTCCGCACAAATGTGCGCAAGCAATGATAGTCCAATTTTTTTATCGTTCGCACTTCGTGCACACATCGTTCACACACCGTGCACACATTGTGCGCACATTGCACATAGTGTAACGTTGTGCGATCCCACAACTGTAATACAAAAAATGCCCTGTAAGCTTTAGGGTATCATAGAACTATAATGTCACATTAAACGAAACACTCTTGTCTGGTTGACTGAAATCGGGTTTTCTTGTGTTTCATTATATAAACGGGAATTGGAATTTATACTCCATATACAGTATGTTACTTTAAATTACGTACTGACAGTAAGATGCTGATGTTGATCTACGATCAAAGAAGTAGTGTATCTTCCATATATTATTAATCTTCTACGTCAAAACGTTCAAACAATAAAGAACAATTAAGGTAATATTGTAAAATTGAGAGGAAGCAAAACCAGATAAGCCTGTATTGAACAACCACAGATTTGGTCGGTCGCAACATTGTGACATAAATACATAATGTGTGTTATTGAAGTGTAACAGTATTTCATATTATATACAGATTGTAAAAGAGGATTTCATGGATATCGATGCGAGCAGAGATGTTCATCTTACTGTGGAGATAACGGGTGTGATCAGACGGAGGGTGACTGTATAGGTTTGTTTAGTGAAATAGTCGCTGAATTCACTGATGTAACTTTTATGCTTAATCTGTTAAAGGTGTTTACCTCACAAGCAATCACATATGTTACTAAACGGTATGTCTTGGTCGCTTGATGTAGGTGACGTGAAGTGAATGTACTATTGGCAAAATTACAATAATGTCTGCAAAGACTACATTTTTTTATTTCAATAACAAACTTGGTTTATTTTTCAATAATGCTCAAGAAATAACAGTATATACAATAACTTTATGTGCTTATCTATGTGTACACTAGACAATGTTGTTACAAAATCATCATGTTACCTTCTAACTAGTTCTATAATATTTAAAATTCATACATTGTATAGTTGGTAATAATTGCGGTGATCCAATTGCGCTATTTTCGCGGTCCCCAAAGATAACGCGAATTTAATTCCAGCGAATATAATTATAATACCATGATTTATAATCTCCGTGAATATATATTTGCAGACCCAAAAGAAAATAAATCTGTTTAATGACCCATAATGAAAAGAAAATAAGTCAGCATTGCATTATTCTTTATTTTAACAAAACCCTTTAAAACAAATCCCATCCCCAAAATGCAAAATTATTTTCGTGAGCGCGATATTTGTACGTGGCAATATTGCACGAAATCCTCGGGAACTAGTTTCTGAAAAATCACGATATCGGCAACGCGACATTAAATAACTATACAATAATTAAGGAGTTTTACGCACCACTTCTTTTATTTCAAAAATAGTTTAGACTAATTTAGATTTCAATCTCTTGGCCTCTAATCACCGCGATGTATCATAGAAAGACAGCACAGCTGTATAATGCAGTGCTATTATTTTGGCATACTGTATCTTTGATAAAATTTTAAAGGTGTCATATGTTCAATCCATATATTTTCATTTATACTTTAGAACAATTGTTTGATTTTAGTTAATTGTTCTTGGATAATTTATTTATTTGCTTCGTTTTGTGTTTGCGTCGTCCTTCAAACTACACTGGCGGAACAGCCCTATCTAAATAAAATTGGCGCCAATAATTAACTTAGGTCATTTGAGCGTTTTACCCAGGGGCATTGTCCATGCTATCCGAAGCGAAGCGACAAGACTCTGATTGAACAAGGTTAATCTATGACGTCATAAGTAAACCACGTTTTATTTCACGAGAGTTTTTGCTTTCATACTCAAATAAAATACATTTCTGCTGGTAATGTTCATATAGTGGGTTGCAGCGCAGATGTAAAAATGTTTCAAATAGTTTTTGATGCATTGTCTTTATGTTCAAACATTTTATATTAATCTGTGCGATAAATTTCCATAAGTACATTGCTAATGCTTACCTAGATAATAGATATTCCAATTCCCTGTCTTATTATTTTCCATTTGTTGATAACTATAAATGGTTTTATAACTTTGTATTCTTGTTCTCTAGTATCTGTGATGGAAATATATTCGAATAAAACACCTTTTAGTGCATTTATGCTGGTCTTTTTCTGCGTTAGATACTGCCACTAGGTCGTGTTCAACGATCACCCTTGGACGTCCTATTATTAGCGGATAATATGTTTAACGAAATACCCATGCCCAGTGTATTGTAGATGGGACTTTTTGTGCTAAATTAAGTCTGTATGCCCTATTTATAGATGTAAGGAAATTAAGACACTTGTGTGCCCTCAATAAAGGAGATCGTACCCAGTCTTTATAAACGTTTGTTTCCTCAGAAAAATGTAAGCATTTGGATGTTTAATGAGCAAAATATGGCAAAACAGTTTGATATTTTAGGTTTATAATTTACATCTATTTAGATATTGAGACATTAATACATTATGCGAGTCTTGAAAAGGGTAACATTATTCTTTATTCTCTGCAGAATGTCCAGAAGGATATTACGATAAAAAATGCAATCTTCCATGCCCATCTTCCTGTGGAGGAAGTGTGTGTGAGCGGACAGACGGTGCTTGTGCAGGTTTGTATAGTGCACACTTGACATAGTGCCTGAGTATAACATTTCAGTGGTGTAAAACATAAGCTTAATGTATTTAAGGTGTATACCTCACAACATATCCTATATTGGGTTGAAAACCCCTATTGCATACTGCTAGCATTCTGTGAGTTTACATATGTTGAAACTTCTGACACGAAAGGAACTTAACGCAACAACTTTCTTAGAGTCTGGTTCCGTTTTCTGTAAATGTGACCAGACAATGTAATGTGCAAATGAGTTCCTGGTTCCACGTAACCCGACATTTTACCAGAGGAAAAACCGACGGAAATATGCCTGGTTAAAAGAAACCAGAAACTTACTGTATTGCAAGAGCACATACTTTTAACTGTTTTATCATACCGATATGTACTGTAAAGTGAAAAATCAGTGCATTAGATACATTAGTTAAGTCCCCGTCTTCATTTTCTAATTTTGATTTTCCGACATGAACTTTCTTTTCTTGATAGTAACGTAATTACTTTCCACACCTACGTGTTTACATGTCGCAGTTGATTTGATATACAAGAGCTTTCTCCTTTAATAAATGTTTTCGTGAAAAATATATGCCGCTGACGGGCAAACTTACAACACAGTGTTTCTAACGATGCAGGTTGATGACGACTTTTGAAAAGTGTTATGATCGCAATTAAAATCTTGTTGGGAAATACAGTATCTCTTTGTGTGATATGAAGGTCCAGTTTGTGTGTTCAATAGTGTGCCTTGTTGTTTATTTGTCAAAAACAGCGAAGGTTAGCGGCACGGTACTTTTTAAAAAAGTGAAAACATAACACCCGTCTCCAAGTACTTAATTTGGCTAACAGTAAAGACGTACTTATATGACCTTCACATTTACAGTTCTGACAGGTTCCAAAAACGCACCTTTATTTACGGAAACTGATGTTTTGATATATCAACAACAACAGAATAGTAGAACAACGTTCAAACTTGGATTATTCTTTACTGCTGGTGAAGTCTTTGAAACCCCATCTCGTTCAAAATGAGCTGTAGATATTTCACATTGTAATTGTTTTACCGTGTATTACTCTGAATATCATTGTTGTTCCTTTATCCTGGCAAACATTTTGGTAGTTTTCAAATCTTTGGATATAATGATTTGGTCTCAATATAATTCCGTACGGTAATATTATAAAAAAACATCAATATATTGTGAGAATATGGCCGCAAGTGTGGAAAACGATGTCCAACTAACTGTGGAAATAACACCTGTAAGCAGGAGAGAGGGGTTTGTTTTCGTATGTACCTCATATACATAAGATGATAAGTCATTCATGTGTTAGAGATCCTATGAAGGGAAACGCTTCCAAATGTCAATTTGAAAATGCCATATTTCTTGAAACAAAGTTTGTTTTTGGGCTGCAAAGATGGGTGTAGGTATTGTATATGCATACTAAAGTTATGGTAATTATTACTGAAATGAAAAGATATTTTCAGGACATTTTAGGTACATGTAGCTTCCTTTTATTTAAACTTTTCAAATACGTTAGCTATTTGCCATAATTTCATATGAACCCGTTTTAGATTGACAACACATATTCATAAGAAAGAGAAGAAATAGGTTCTCTCTTGACTTTTAACTTCTCTTTAAGGATCCCCGTGATATTGAAATTGATCTTTTCTTTAACGTATATAATTGTGGTTTTAGCAATACCATCGTCTAAGCAATTCAATTTTGCTTGAGTTCTACTTTGCGTTTCAATAAATGGCTGGTTTATCTGTGGTTGCATTATATTGACGTTGGTATTGGTCAAAATTTCCATCCAGAATCAGGGTGTGGCCTACTGTTAGCTATTATAAATATAATTTGTGAGATTTGTGTATCGCCAATATTTGTCAATATGTTTTTACAGACTGCAAAACAAAGTTTTACGGCTCGAAGTGTAACAGTCGATGTCCAACTACCTGTGTGAATAACACGTGTGAGAAAACCAGTGGAGATTGTTTTGGTATGTACCTCACAAAGATAATAAGTCGCATCATAACGATTTCTCTCTTCTCTGTAAAGTCTTGGAGATGGTGTTTTGTCCAGATGATGACTTCTAAACAACGAAATATCCATACGAATGAGCTTTAAATGGAACATATTATGATAATGTTAACGAGCGTAACAATCTGTTGTAACATTTTAAATCATTGTTTAGCAAACAGATTAAGTATGCAAATTTGTTTGCTGGTTAATTTGCAATTAAATGAATAATTTGTTTTGTGGTGACCGGAATTGATGCTAGTATGATAAGAATTGCCATTCCGTGTATAAGTGTTTCTAAGTTTTTAAAGAGTGTGCAGACCGCTTTTACGACTGTAAGTGTAAAAGTCTATGTCAATCTAACTGTGGAAATAACACCTAACGATTGCTTTATTCTCTGTAAACCCCGTAAATCCGTGGTATTTCGCCACATTTATGTGTTAGAGATCCTACGTAGATAAACGCTTCCAAATGTGATTCTCAAAATGCCATATTACTTAATACAAAGTGTATATTTTGATAGATATTTTGGAGATTTTTGAAGTACCTGTAGTTTTCTTTTTATTTAAACACTCCAAATACGGTGGTTATTTGCCCTAGTTTCAAATGAACCCAATATACCTTTTTAAATTGACAACACGTATTCATAAGAGAGACGAGATCGGTTTTCTCTTGTTTTTGAACTTTTCTTTAAGGATCCCCGTATCATTGCCAAAAACTATACCTACACATTAGAACCTGTTTTTTTTAGACATTAGTATTGTTTTGATAAAACATGTTTTAGAAGAAAAACTTACCCCGCGGGACTTTAATGAGTAAATAATGAAGATGAAATGAACAAAATATAATCAAAAGAAGTTTTCTAGGAGCAAAAAAAGAAAAAATCATTTGGGCTAGACCGAGATTCGAACTCTCGATGGCGATTGTTATGTAGTAGTTCTAGGATCCTTAAAAGGAACATATTTGAATGACGAAAACGGGCGGAACATTTGTTTAACGTAAATTATTTTGGTTTAGCAATCCAATCGTCTAAGCAATTCAATTTTGTTTGAGTTCTACTTTGCTTTTCAATAAATGACTGGTTTATCTGTGGTTGCATTATATTGACGTTGGTATTGGTCAAAATTTCCATCCAGGATCAGGGTGTGGCCTACTGTTAGCTATTATTATTATAATTTGTGAGATTTGTGTATCGCCAGTATTTGCCAATATGTTTTTACAGACTGCAAAACAAAGTTTTACGGCTCGAAGTGTAACAGTCGATGTCCAACTACCTGTGTGAATAACACGTGTGAGAAAACCAGTGGAGATTGTTTTGGTATGTACCTCACAAAGATAATAAGTCGCATCATAACGATTTCTCTCTTCTCTGTAAAGTCTTAGAGATGGTGTTTTGTCCAGATGATGACTTCTAAACAACGAAATATCCATACGAATGAGCTTTAAATGGAACATATTATGATAATGTTAACGAGCGTAACAATCTGTTGTAACATTTTAAATCATTGTTTAGCAAACAGATTAAGTATACAAATTTGTTTGCTGGTTAATTTGCTATTAAATGAATAATTTGTTTTGTGGTGACCTGAATTGATGCTAGTATGATAAGAATTGCCATTCCGTGTATAAGTGTTTCTATGTTTTTAAAGAGTGTGCAGACCGCTTTTAAGACTGTAAGTGTAAAAGTCGATGTCAATCTAACTGTGGAAATAACACCTAACGATTGCTTTATCCTCTGTAAACCCTGTAAATCCGTGGTATATCGCCACAGTTATGTGTTAGAGATCCTACGTAGATAAACGCTTCCAAATGTGATTTTCAAAATGCCATATTACTTAATACAAAGTGTATATTTTGATAGATATTTTGGAGATTTTTGAGGTACCTGCAGTTTTCTTTTTATTTAAATACTCCAAATACGGTGGTTATTTGCCCTAGTTTCAAATGAACCCAATATACCTTTTTAAATTGACAACACGTATTCATAAGAGAGACGAGATCGGTTTTCTCTTGTTTTTGAACTTTTCTTTAAGGATCCCCGTATCATTGCCAAAAACTATACCTACACATTAGAACCTGTTTTTTTTAGACATTAGTATTGTTTTGATAAAACATGTTT